GATATCAGTGCTGAAGGAAAAAATATACTTGTTGACAGCAAATTAGAATAGGGATGTTTTTATAACAGTGAAAGGTTTCCGTGTCGTTGCGATCTATAGGATAAGATACGCGTAAGCATCGCGCGATGTGATTTTGTTAATTGAAATCTCGCAGGAAGTTACCAATCTTTCTAAGAAAATGAGTCTTTATGGTAAATTACGAGCAATTATTTTACTTATGTATATTCTAATCTTCAAACGAATTGAAATCGCAGTTTAAGATATATTATCAGTTATTATTTTACTTATGTACTGGTGGTAGGACCTCTTGTGAGTCCGCGCGGGTAGGTACCACCGCCCTGCCTATTTCTGCCGTGAAGCAGTAATGCGTTTCGGCTTGAAGGGTGGGCCAGCCGTTGTAACTATTACTTGAGACCTTAGAACTTATATCTCAAGGCGGGTGGCGCATTTACGTTGTGGATGTCTATGGGCTCCAGTAACCACTTAACACCAGGTGGTCTGTGAGCTCGTCCACCCATCTAAGCAATAAAAATAAAATAAATAAAATATGTATATATATTCTATTCTTGAAACGATTGCAGTAGATATATGTTTTTGGCATGTGCATTAGCACTAATCCTAATAGGCTTATGATGAAATAGGTAGATTATGAATTATTAAAAGAATCGTCACATCTTCTAGTCCGTATATAGGACCACGGGTTTTGATTAATTTTACAAAATTGCGGTCGGCCCATGCATCAATGTATTCATCCTTTACGCGGTCAGTGGGAAAAGCGGAAAAATTCATTTCATCTCCCACATTAACTGAATTGAATGAAAATGTTCGGTGTTCTGAAATCTCGCGCGATGTCATTAATCGTTTTGACGTCACGGTACGGGACATTTAGTGTGACCCTTTTTATGCGCCGGTCTATGCGATTCACGTCCCTAATCGGTAGAGGTCGAAATTGGTATCGTAAGAATATCTGAAATAGAGAGTGTTTATTGCTTCAATATTTCAAAGTCATATTATACACACTAGTACACGATGGACGAGCTTAGACATATAGGTAAATAACATCGCCTGAACTTGGCAGGCTATTGAATTGTAACGCTAATTATAAAAAAATAAAGTTGATTCTATTCTATTCTATTCCCAAGATGTATCTGGTATTAACTGGTTCTCAGAGCTTAACGACATCACAATATGAATGTCGTCACCCACTTTGCGACATGAGGTGAACGTTTCAAGTGAATTGTATGATGATAGATAGACAGATCAGCTTAATCAATTAATTGGAATTGTAAGTTTGTACACTATTATGATTGTATTTTAAACTTTTATAATCACAAATTTCGCCAAGGCTACACTATAAAAAAATATTAATAAAGAAAAACAATATTTAATCTATTCTCAATTTGACAACAGACGTCAAGAACAAAAGTTGGACAATAAATAGTATGCATGCGTGGGTGCGTCAAATACATGGTATGTAGGGTGTGTAATGTTTTCTTTATTGATTTAATGTATCTTTTATGCATTATTTAAAAAAAATATTAGCATTGTGCACTTCAGCTCTATATTCTCTTTAAGTGTGGAAAATTTCATAGTCCTCCGTCCTCGCAATTTTCGTAAAAAGGGATACAAAGTTTTTGCTTCACGTATTAATATATAGATTTCACTACATTGGTAATATGACACTTTATAAAAGCAAATCGATTACCTTAAGCATCAGACGTCGGCAATTTTACATTTTTGTTTGTGCCAGCCTGACCCAATTTAAAGCAATTTGAAATGCCGATTCGACCTGTATTTCTTCTGATTGTATTTGGCTACTGTGGCAAATAAAGCTGATTCGACCATTGATACAGCTGAATTGTTGATAGGGAGAATCCTGGTCGGTTGCTAATTAATTGTTCTGGATATGCGCAAAAAATGTAAGTTTGGTCTTTGATATTATTTGAATTGTTTCTTATCAATGCGTTGAAATTACAAGTAAAATTATTCACCAAATAATCGGTTTTCTTTCATTCAACGGTTGACCTGATAGTAATTTCTTACTGTCACTTAATGACAATGCCAATGGAACATCTTAATTATCGCCTACTGAGAAGATCTAATTTTATACTTTTATCGATCAGGAGGGAAATATTGTTAAAAAAATAACAGTTACATCCTCAAAGGGGATTTTAAGTAACACAAGCTTTAACAATGAGGCTTATTGACTTTCAGATCGTATGCTCTAAGTATGGCTTTATGACAATTATAGTAAAACTCAAAGAACGTAAAATGGAACGGACTTACAAACCATACCATACCATAACATAAATATGTTAAAAATAGTTTAACATCTAATTACAATAAATTAATTAGAAGATTAACAAAGTGGCGAAAGTTATTCGTTTGGTATTAAAAGTACTATATTGAACAATTTTTATTTTATTTTAATAGGCAGAATAAGCTCATGATGCACAGGATATAGTTGGCGTCAAAGTCGTCATTTTGAATGTTACTGTGCAAAGGATAATAAGCAAGATACCGGTACCAACCAATTTAACAGTACTAAATATTTTAATTAGATGAATTTATATGTATAAAAGAAGAGTAGTTGTAATTATTGTTTTACGGAAAAATAAAGTTACACCGTACTACTACTGCATGAACTAAGACTAGATAAAAGAATATATCGACGCTTGAAAGGTAAACGTGACTAAGCGACAATGCGTGAACTTTACAGTAGACTAATTTAAAGTTGAAATACCTGAAAAAAAATTATTTTAACGAATCTAGCTTTAGTAGAATCTAGCTAGTAGCTGTAGGATTGAAATGATATTAATAGACCTAGAAATATATATTTTTTGCGCATCGAATCTGGTTATTGCCTATCGTTTATGTACAAAGCAGTTATTGTCGCTTAGTGACATTTGCCTTTCAAGCGTCGATATAAATTTCGAACTAAACTTAGACTTGAATGTAATAAATCCAAAAACCTATAATGAAAAAGCTAGCTTAGCTTCTTTACTTTGATTGTATAATTATTACGTTTAATTAAAGTCAAAAATTTGCAAGTGAATAAAGTTATTATGTGACACATACTCCTTTCATACGAATTATTTACGGTAAGCAATATATCACGTGTTAATACGAATAAAAGACGTGAGCTCAATGTGGCTTACTGAATTGTGAGTTATATTTACTTTACAATGGCACAAGCCTTTTGTATAGTTACAAGACGCCTACACTCTCTCGTTAACAGTATACATAATCTTCACATTACGGCTCGTGGGTGTACGATTATTAAGTAAATATTTAAGAAGGCCAAAACGATAAGCTACTAATAGTTGAGTTGGGAAAATGTGGACTAAGAAACTACTTACTTAACTTAATATTTGAAGTTTTTGGAACGAAGCTCCTTATGGGACGATGCGGAGGGGTACCCTAACCGAGAAAAAACGTCCGTAACGTAAGATTTCTTCTGTTTAGTTTGTTACCAACAGGTGTCGCTGCACGTAAATTCAACAATTCTAGAATCGCGGTGGCGAGATACTACGCAGTTGATAGATGTTCTCGTATTTCTCTTGCTAGTTCATACTTACCTGGCGTAGGGGATACCGTGATCACGCAGGCGGTTCCACCAGGGCGAGGCTGCTCCATTGCACTGCGGAGTGGTTGACCCTTGCGATTATTTTTATTTTTAACAATAAAAAAATCATAATAAAAAATGTATGCCCGAGTAATTATTTTCTTTATACTTCGAATGGAACTTAAAATTCATATTTTTATAATAAGGAATTTCGTTACTATCCGGTGTCCCACGCCCACGACACCACATATATATTTTTTTAATTGCATTCCGGTGTTATTTAACTGACGGCCTTCCTCGTGTAAAATAAGTCCATAGATATCAAAATGTTAATGTTGCCACTCACCCGCGGGTATAAGGTTGAAGTCTCAGTTGTATTCCATTGCGGCTGTGCCATCTTTAAAACTGGAACACATAATTGCTTAATTGTTTTTCTGCAAGTCGTGCTTCTGATTTTAAGAGAGTACAATACTTTGTTTTGACTCGATATCAATGATTATTCCATTATTTCGTTTTTCCTATTGCACCGCCGGCCACCGGAGTAGAGTTCATCCATACTACCTGGAGCCACTGCGTTCATCCACAGTGCGCTTCCAGATATCGTTTTTGCCGCGTACCATCTTGCTTTCCAATCAGTTCTCCTCCACTTATCACTCACCATCAAGTGGGTTGACTGTATGCTCGTCTGCCTCCAAGGGCAATAAAAAAAACCCTAAGCATTAATAAAGCAGAATTAAGTAAATAAGGATACTCTAAAGAAGAATGGATGAATATGCTGTGAAAACTCAATGAGGACATACAAATGTATCCTGGTGAATGAATAGCTAGAAAGGGTATTCTCTTCACTTTAAAGACATAAAGGAGGTTGAACTTTGAAAATAATTGAACAAATTGTTTTTTTCAATCGTCGGATTGAAGATTCCTTTCATATTACATTCGTCGATGTATATGTCGGGTCGAAATGGTTTATGAAATTACACATTATTACAATATGTCTCGAATTTATAAATAGAAACAAATATCCTGTAAAATAGTCAGGTTTTTTTGAATCTTTCCTGAAAGCTATAATGTTAAATATTACAAAACAACTGGTTTGCACGCGCAAATGATTACGAGGCTTGTTCAATTTCAAAATTACTACTGTTATGAGACCACACGATTGCCCGCTGAGTTTCTCGCTGGATCTTTTCAGCGGGTCGCGATTCCGATCCGGTAGTAGATTCATTCGCGAAGCAATTGCTCTTGAGTTGTTAGGCATCCTTCGGAGGCGCTCGGGCAGTTGTTAGCAAATCCCACCCCTCCTGGCTGAGCTTTTGCTCGCCCACCTATCCTGGTGAAACTGAAAAGGTCTCCGGGCCACCAGTAATCTTTTAATCATAAAAAAACCACACGATTGTACATGATGTTTGTAAATATGAAACGTTTTTTGTTTAAGGTCAACTACAAGGGTCAGGATATAACGAGCCGGAGCCAGAATTTCTGTCGCCCTTAGAAAATCTGACCGTAGCACAAGGAAGAGATGTTCATTTCACTTGCACCGTTAATCATTTGGGAACTTATAAGGTACGCGACAATTACATTGGTATTTTTATATTATGAGACAGCGTTTTCCTATTTTTACCTTAATAACAATACAAAATATGTATTTCGCTTGGTGAAAGGTTATTTGGTTCAAGCGACATTTCGCTTAATACGCGACATTTCGCTTAATACGCAACATTTCGCTTAATACGCGACATTCATATTTGTTAATACGCTTTTATTAGCTTCAGACGTATGTATGTTAGTATGTAACGGAATCTTTGAACATGATTTTGACCCCCTTCAAAACGTCGGATTAACTCGAAATTTGGCATACTTATTAAGGACCGACGACAATATAATATTTAAAAAAAAATTGAAAAAATTGAAACTCAACTAAAAAATGAAAAATAAATAGTAGTTTAAAAAAACTAAAAAAATACGCTTTTATAGAAAATCGAACTATAAAATATTATCAAAGTAACCCTTCTACTCATACCTGTTCATAAAATATTTATAACTACTGATACCATGCACCCCACGGTTTTTTTTACAAAAAAAAACTTTTTTCCACTATTTTTAATTCAAATTTATTTTCTAGTTGGATTTTCTATAAAAGCGTATTTTTTTAGTTTTTTTAAAGATACGTTTTATTTGGTATTAGCATCAACGATTCGATGTTTTTAATTGAATTTCAATTAAAAACATCGAATAACTCCATTGAAATAGCTGACGAAGTTTTTTTGTTATAATATATTTTCCAAATTTTAAACTTTAAATGCCTCTTCTGTAATGTTGCGAAAATGTCGCTGAAACCAGATAGCCTTTTAATCCTCGATATGTAATTTTAAAAAAAATATCTAGTTTTTGCTAAATATACGTAGCTTAGAATTGCTTGTGAGTAGAGCTTCTATTATGGTTAAGTACCCAATAAATTGAAACATATTGCAGTAGTAGGGTGAACATATGTGTTATATAAATAGCTGGTTTTGTGTTTCACAGTAAAGCTCATGTCCAAAAAAATAAATGGCATAAATCTCATCGAATTTATTAACAAGTATATTAACATAGATGATGACCGAGCTTTGCTCGTTTTTTTTTGATAACGCCATCTTGTTGTGTCTTTAAAGCGGTTAGTTGCCCTCAATTAAGAAAAACAGTATTATTATTCGCCAATAGATGTCGGGAAGAGTTGATTATTGAAAACACGAATAAAACAACATTTTCTGAAAATAAATTGTAGCTAGATCGATTTATCGCCCCCGAAATCCCCTGTATACTAAATTTTATGTAAATCGTTGGAGCCGTTTTACGAGATTCAGATTATATACATATACCTATATTAATATACAAGAATTGCTCGTTTAAAGGTATAAGATTATTATAAGATTCGATTCGATGAGTTAATTAGTGAAATACGTAGAAAATCATGTTGCTATTTTCATAAACAAAGTATTGTTCGAGGATAAAGTCGATAAGAGAATAAAAATGTTTGTTATTCTAATAATGGGACGATTTATCTTAACGGATAACGGTGGGTAGTTTACGTAATCTTGTACCGCGACTTTGTGAACTCTCCGTGTTTTGTGGTAAAGTTTTCCTTGTACCATTCAACTGAAGAAGTTCATAAGTATTCTTAGGTAAATCTGAATTTAGTTTACTTCTAAATATTTTATTTACTTTTATTAGAGTTGGTAAAGGATCGTTTTGAAAAAATTAAACAGTCCTCAAATATTTTAATCGCATTTAACATGTGCTCTCTTTCAATCAGTAGTAATAGTGCATAGATATCAGCGAGTACTTTGTTGGAGATCTCTTTGGACAATAAAAGCTTGGGACTATACAGGTGGCCTGGATAAAATCGGACACGAAGACGATTCTGGCGATCCACACACACATGGTGACATTGAACCCGCGACTGTCAGTTACACACAACGGGCACAACACTTGGAAGTTGTACATCAGCAATGTGGAGCCCAAAGACTCTGGTACCTACATGTGTCAGATTAACACTGATCCCATGATGAGTCAGGTAAGTGGCTGTTTTATCGATTTTTTGACGGTTAGGTGTAATTTTTCATTATCGACTAGCTGACCCGGCAGACTTCGTAGTGCCTCAATCGGTAAATAAAAGACCTAAACTTTTGTATAAAATAAACTTAAAACAAACAAAAGAAATCGGTCCAATGGGGGACACATCAAAGGAAAAACAAAATTGACATTTTTATTTAATTCCGAGCATTTTTATATTGATTTACCTTTTAAACCTTCTCTGGACTTCCAGAAATAATTCAAGACCAAAACTAGCCAAATCGGTCCAGCCGTTCTCGAGTTTTAGCGAGACTAACGAACAGCAATTCATTTTTATATATATAGATAGATAGATAGATAGATTATCACTAGCCGAAAATTGTTCACTGTTGAATACTGCTCTCCTTGAAGGTAAGTCTGCAAGCTCTGTGATCTATTGGGTCGTGGGATCAGCTTTATAATCTCGCAGTTGCTATTTTAATTTTATTCCTCCTATGTCACCGATATGTTTTTGCAATAGTTTTTTTTCGAACCTTCTCATTTGTCTTTTAAAAGTATAGTGAAACTTCGAGCGTTGTCCTTTCCATAAAATTTTGTATCACTTTAAGTTTTCTCTTGAGGTATTAGGTACAATGGAGACAATTGATCAATAGGCGAAAATAAGGCAAGATTTTTTTTGTCTTGTAATGGAAATATCGAAGCAGAGTATGTTTAGTACGGAATATGAAAATTCTAAGATAAAGCATAATATCTCATCCCGAGCACTGTTAGTGGACAGTAATGTTAAATAAAATAAATCTGCTGTTATTTACTATGAGAACTGCAATATATGTTTTAAAATTAAATAGAAGAATCAATTCTCTTTGTGAATTTTATGAATGAAAAACCTATCATCTTAGTTTAGCCTAAAATTCCTAAAAAAGAAATCTTGGTATTTACAAATTATACCTCTTACTTAGTATAATTACTCACAATAACTAATTTGTACTACTATTTTCGTAGCATAAGAACATCAAAATGTATATGACATGAACATATTTATTATGACACGAACACATTATGCATTAAATAGGTAATATCATATAAAAATTTCAAAACTAGTTCAGTTAAAGCAATACAATTACAAAAATATAAATTACTAGCGGCCCGCTCCGGCTCCGCACGGGTCTTTAACAAAAATCTCAACGATATTTGACGTTGTTTTATTTTTTTAAATAAAAGAACACTTATTGCGGCATAACTATAATAATGAAACATATGCTGTCGAGACACTTTTGGTAAATAATAATGTGTTCTACAAAGTCGTAGTATATTATTTTATTCTATCATAAATAGTTTTCGCAGGGCACGCGATGTAAAGAATATTTTAGGTAATTTTTTTACACCTTGGATTATTGGAGTTTTAGTAAGGATCCCTATTTTTTTTTTTTTTTTTTCAAAAAATGTTTATAGCCTATGTCACTCGGGAATAGTGTAACTTCCAAACAGTGATAGAATTTTTCAAATCGGTTCAGTAGTTTCCAGGCCTATTCAATACAAACAAACAAACAAATCTTTCCTCTTTATAATATTAGTATAGAAGTATAGATGATGTAAATAGTATTCATCAAAGTTCAAAACGGAATGTGTCTATATTCGTAGGTAGGTATAGTACAGTAAATAGGTTGTTGAACATGGTTCACATTACTCCATTTAATTAGGGTATCATTGCTTATCTATGGACGGTAATTACAATCAGTTTCCGTGTCGTTGACTCGGTTTGGACGCCGCCCGTATGTTTATTCAGTCTGAAAACATAGTAGGACCCCATAGTATTTAATGTGGCTTTTTGTTTCCGTTCGATTTGTTTGATAAATTCGATTGTGTAAACAATAAATATTGAATCGTCTTCTATTTAGTACCGTTTGAAAGTCGTGAATTAAAATTTTATTTAACAATTATATGTTTGTTTATTAACATTATTTTATGAATAAGTATATAAAGGGTGTATTTATTTTCAACAACAAAATCCTATCCTAGTTATGGCCATCATTAAAACTTTGTAAAAATAACTGATGCATTTCAATAGGCCAGAACTTAATTGATCGTCACTACGGATACTTCTATTCAAAGAACGGCTAACCTTAACCCTTGTAAAATTTGTTTAACAAACTTATATTTGATTTTACACGTTCTACAAAAGCCAAAACCCGTTGGCCAGCTTTTGATATTGAGCAGTAACGTCTCTAATATTAAAATTTATGCAATCGACCGAGGCTTGCAGACCTGCACCCGATTTCAAGAGCCAAATGTTTCACCAGCTAAATTATGTGATCGTATTTCTTGCATTGTCATTCTTTTTATAAAAATCAAAGTATGAAACGTTTTTCTTTTAGATTTCTTTATTTGATATGTGTAACTGTAGATGCGTTTGATTTACCTATTCCAGTTCCAGATAAACTATAAGATACCAGATAGGACCAAGCATTATATAGCAAAGATAATTTGCCATCTGTCATAACACAGAGAATCCTAATTTAGGGCCGGATGTCCGTGTGTGATTTATTGCCATTCATCTGTGTTCAAAAACGCTAGGTTTATATTAAGTTCTTCGTAATTCAATTAAATGAGTTTTATCAACGCTTCACTTTTTCAAACTCTCCAATTCAAACAAGGAAAACGATGACGCTGACATTATTTTGTTGGATCGTTCTAGTTTGAATAAATAACACATGTTGAGCGACTTTTGACGAACGGGAAATTGTTATTCAAACTAAACGCAAACAAAGATGTAACCTCATCTGAAACATGTCAACGCGACGGGAGAAATTTGTTCAAAGACGAGACTCCGACATGCCGTTCGCGAAACAACTTTGATACAATGTTATTATAATGCCTACCTGGGTCTCTGGCCTTTGGGTGCCACTGTGTGTGTGTGTGCTCTGTTATTTTGCGTAATCTGTACATCGTGTCGGCGAACATCGGCATTGTTTCAGAAGGGTTTTACGTTGTATTTTTTTTGGTCTCATAATTTTCAGGTACATCCCAATTTTTCTCATGTTTTAGTGTAATATTTTTTGCGATTACCCTTAATTTTTCATAAGTCATTTGCGTCTTATATTCTTGTATCTATTTCAATAATATTCAAAACTATTATCCTCTTACCTACTCCAATACTATTCTATACTATTAAATTCTTGTATATCTGTACATTGAACGTTCCGTGATGTCTATGGGATATTAATGTAACAATTTTGGCACAGATTCAAAAACGACTGCGCTTTCACATCCCTCGTAGCAGTTTTCAATCTCTATCGTCGATTATGCTGTAGACGTTGATATGTTACTCAATAGTGTTAGTATCAGTTAGATGTTGTGAATTTTTATTTTTATGTAATATCTGTAAGAGTAATGGGCATAGGCATTTTCTATACCTTACACTATGATTTTATAAATGAATTAAAATTTTACGGTATAATCTCACTTTTATTTTTCTCATCATATCATTTCCTTTGATTATTATATTAGTTAACGGTGGGCAGCGGCTTGGTTCTGCCCCGGGCATTGCTGATGTCCACGAGGGACGGTAACCACTCACCATCCGGTAGGCCAAATGCTCATCTGCCTACAAGGGCAGTAAAAAAAAAAATCAACCTTTCGAATACTGTACAGTTTTGGTGGTTATAATAACGCGAGATTAAACCGAAAAAGTTGCAATCACGTCTACGACTCACGAAAATCGTAGTTAATGCCACATCATCATTGCCTTGGGATTACAATCTGAATTAGAGAATAGATTTACAAAATCTAGCAATAATTTAACTTCATACTTAAATTTATAACGTTATATTGGGAAGATTATTTGAGGAATCAATAAAGTGAGTTAAATCAATAGGTTAAGTATCACTAAACCAGTAATACTTAGGGTGATAGTTCAGTGAAACATCACGTTTGACCAGAACAGTAAGTTAGTTGTTAACGTAAATGTAAAGTTCAGTGCGATTTCTTTTTAACTGCAATTTATTGATGTAGCGTGCTCAGTTCTTGAACTATCCTATACTGTTTGTTATACATACGTGTTTAATTGTTCAATACTTTTTAAATTGAATACTGTTATTATTTTAAATTCAATATTACGAGTGCCTCTGTTGTTATATAAAAGCAGAGTTCAATATTATCACTTGAAACCGCATAGTCAAATTAACAGTACATTGAATTATTTTTTTGGAATTTTGGATTGATTATTCGCGCCTCATTCTTTGTGTTTCTGTAGCGCTTCATGATAACTTTCTTGAAACATTTCAACCAGGGCGTGTATAGCTAGTCTGCCTCTAATATGAGCGATTTTTTTAGAATACATAGAAAAAAAAATTAAATTACAAAATAAAACATCGCAGTAATAGTATAATGCGTCGTAAGGAGGCTCGTGTAAGCTCTGTACAAAGAACGAATAGAATATTACAAAGGAAAACGTATTCGGATAAAAATAATCATACGGATCCGAATTTATCTACTGGCTTAGAAGGCTTCTCTCGTTTCCGAGTCGCGAACGAATAACGTACAGTAAATAAGATCTACACTGGCTTCTTAAGCAAGTATCCACAAATTCTGTTCACAATACTAAGTCAATTCTTAAGCTCGATCTCGGTGTTGTTTGTGACTTTGAATTTCATTGAACTGATTTGTTTAAATGAAGAACTGGGTTTTGCGGCAGCATGATGTTTTTTAAATAACGTATTGAAATCACAAACATTTTAAAAGTATTTAATTTATTTTAAAAGTAAAATCTGAGGATGTAATTGTATTTTTGTCCGTATTTCTTACAAAGCGGTAGGCAGCGGCTTGGCTCTGCCCCTGGCATTGCTGAAGTCCATGGGCGACGGTAACCACTCACCATCAGATGGGCCGTATGCTCGTCTGCCTACAAAGGCAATAAAAAAAAAAATAGTGTTATTTCAGCCTGGTATGATTTTAGAAATAGCATATGTAGAAATAGTTATCCTAACAATCATACCCCTAATT